GATCTATTTCTGATACGCCCATTGTGCCCACTCCTGCCTTTTCAACAATCTCCAACCCTTGTTTGCCGATAGCATCTTGATTCTGATCAATAATTCCTTTTGCAATAATCCCAAATTTTCCCTTACCACGAGTTTTCAGAGCTGACTCAACTATTTTTACCAAATTGTACTCGCTTGTCATTAATAAGCACTTAACAAAAAAGAAAAAAAAAACGATTGCAGGAGAAAGTTTGGCAGTCGTGGGAGTCTCCGGCCATAACGATTTGCCTCTTTCGTAGATTCTATGTCTTCATAACTCTTTATCGATACAGTTATGGATTAACTTTATTCTTCATTATAATAAATGCGTATCAGGTAGACTGTGCTAAGAACTTCAAAATAAACTATAGCAACCACAGTTCTTTTCGTTTCTCTCTATCTCTGTCTGTCTCTCTGTCTGTCTCTGTCTCTCTCTATATATATATATATTTATAGCTGGCAACTCGTATTCCATCTACTAGAGCCATCTACTAGAGCGGCTAGCCAATCCCTATTGCAGACGCTTGCCCAGGCGAATTTATGTTTGTTAAACACCCACAGAACCCCCCTTAGTTACAGTTTCTGGAGAAAAGGTGTGTTATAAAGCGTGATCCACAATTTGAACAAAGCCATCACGCTCAAACCCTCGCCCATGATGACTTGTGACTTCGTGCTAACACAGCTATTGATGGCCTCCAGGGGTACCATCCACCCAATGTCACTCACAAGGCTTGGGTCAACACATGATGTGGTTTTTAAGGCACTTTCCAAAGGTGCTGCATGCTGGGATCGACCTCAATCTAGTCCGATAACATCAGGAAGTCACCTTCCTGACAAATCGACTATGGTGAGATTCGAACCCGGTTCTCATGAGCAAAATGCGAACTTTCCAATATATATATATATATATATATATATATATATATATATATATATATATATTAAAGTGAACACTCAAAGTTAACAGTTTGTCGCCTCTGAGTGTTAACTTCAATGTTCACATTTATATTATATTTACACATGCTCTATCTCTGATATTGAGCACTTTATCCCATAAATATAGCACAGCTTAAAACTATATTTCTATATATATATTACAACAACAACAATATATATATATATATATATATATATATATATATATATATATATATATATATATATATAATACATAATATATATAATACACAACAAAATTTTGTTGTGTAATTTATATGCTCTGTTATAATAAATACATTGCGCTCTTTTTGTGGATGAATCGAATATTTTACATTACTAGGATCCACTTGGATTATATACCAACGAATTTATTACCTCTAATATATGTATGTATGTATGTATGTATGTATGTATGTATTATTTTATATGCGCGGTACTTAGTGGAAAGCACTCAATATCAGTGATATAGCTAACATAATAAGTTGTATAAGTTGTATGGATATGAATTTGTGACTCTGGGTTTCACGCTTTTATGATCATCAGAAAAACACATTTGTTTGATGATCGCAAAAGCGTGTAACCCAATGTAAAAAAACTCATATCCATACAACTGACCAATTATTGCACCAATTTATATACGGTTTTATATATATATATATATATATATATATATATATATATATTTGCGTCTGTGTGTAGGAGTGTATTTAGGCAGCATATTTTCATTCAAGCAAGCATCTTACAAAAGGACAACATTGCATATCAATTTAAATATCCCTTAGGAAATTATATCGGATAAAATCTTAATACGTATGTTGCTTTTACTACGACAATGCTAACAAAAAGGCCTGCGTTCCATTTGGATGAACATAGTTTAATATCACAGCATTTAACCGAACACCCATGCCCACACGCACAGTTTAGACAGATATTAGTTGAAAATACATCTATGTTACATAAAAATAATAATAAGGAAAAACTAAAAATCCTAGAAAACTCTTTAATATAAGAGAATTAAAGCCCAAAATAAATGAAGTCAACTATGACAATAGCAGCAAAGTTTTTAAATGTTTGCAGCAGAAATATATATATATATATATATATATATATATATATATATATATATATATATATATATATAATATATATATATAAGGTTAATATATTTTTTCTTTTCTCAATAATTTTGTAGTTTTTAAACTTAACAGTGATTAAATTTGGATTTTAAAATTGCCAGTTTTTAATTTTAATATTAAATTTTATCATATAATTTTATAATTATTGGTTAGTATAAATTATTTTTAATATTACACATATTTTAAAGATCTGAATAGCTATTATAACATGATTTCGTTGTCAAGCTTTTGAATCTTTCTATACTTGGTTTTTGATTGGTTATTGTAGCTTTTGTAACAATGTTTCCCCCTAGTGTAGGATCGTTAATTAATCTGAAACTTTTAAAACAATTTATTTTATCTTCAACATCATCACTTGATAAGACACTTATGTTATAATTTTTTTTATAAATAATAATTATATATATATATATATATATATATATATATGAAAAATAAATAAATAAAAAGAGTCACCACCCTTATACTGTGGAAAAAGCACGTGAATTTTGAAATCTTGAACGCTGCATAACGCAGTAAAACGGACAGTTGAAATGTATTGAATTAACAAAAATTCGTATACACATTCACAGAGAATTTAACCCACTGAAGATGGTCTCAGGTGTGATTGAAAGTACTTGAGAAAATAAAAACTATTTGAAAAGGAATTTTGGTATTTTTCTTAATCAATTTTGTAAGTGTTGTCACCAAATAATGATTAAGAAATAACAAAATAGGAGGTTGCAGATAAATAGTGTATTGAACAGAATATACAACAGAAGTGAGTTACACGACTTGGGAGTGTGTGTCGGTTGACCAGCGTTCAGTCTATATCACCGTTCTTCCCGAGACTTACTCTCCTACTAACTTTATAGTAAGTGGAAGAGTCCACAATAGCCTCATTAGAGGGAAGACACCACAACACTAAGGCTAGCAAGAAATTAATCCGTGAATTTGAAAGGATCACAGCCAAAAGAAATCGACATGATATGTCTAAATTATTTCACCGAACCTGTTTGTATATATATATATATATATGTGTGTGTGTGTGTGCGTGTATTTTATTTGTATATATCTCTGCATTTTTCATTTCCTCGTCTCTTTCTCTCTTTCTCTCTCTAACTCCCTGACTTCATAACCTCTCTATTTATCTCTTCTCCTTCTCCATCTCTTTGTACCTATTCTTCTCTCTCTTTTCTGTCCTGCTGTCATATTTATTTTTCACTCACTCTATCTTTCTGTATATCTTTTTTCTTTCTCACTCTTTATCATTTTTCTCTCTTTCCTTGTTTCTTCTCTATCGATGTCTTCGTCTTCTTCTTTTCTCTCTTTGGTTTGTTTTCTTTCTTTCTTTCTCCCTCCCCCCTTCTCTCTCTCTCTCTCATTTTCTGTTTCATTTCTCCCTATATTACTTTCTTCTCTCTCCACCTTCTCTCTCTCCCGTTTCGAAATATGTCTTGGATCTCTTATTTTCTCTCTCTCTCCCTCTCTCTCTCTGTCTCTATTTCTCCTATCTCTCTTCCTGATTTTCTCTTTATATTTCTGCCTCTCTCTTTTTTATCCTATTTTTTCTCTCTCTTTCTGCATCTGATTTCTTTCCCTATCTTTCTGTCTTTATCCGTCTCTCTCTCTCTCTCTCTCTGTTTCTCTCTCTGTTGGTGGTGGGGTTCATGTGTTTGTTCAGAGTTTCAAAACGTTTTTATATTCTTGTGCATGTGGACTGACCAACAAGTTCCGCCTAATATTTAATTTCGATAAGAAATCCCAAAGGAAGAAATTTGTTAATTTTCGAAAAGAAAATTTTATGGGCGAGACCGTTTGCTGAATTTGTCTATCTTCAAGGACGAAAACAAATTTGGAGTATGGGTGGGGCTCGTTTAGTTATTTTTTCAATCTCTCATTATAAAAGTCATTTATTCATCTTAACTTTATACTAGCAGCTATACCCAGCTGGTCGATCAAAAAAAGCGTTCAATTAGAATGGAGCAAAAATAGCATCATGTTTAGATGTAACAGAGTCTATCTTCTTCAATTACTTTAAAGTACTTTAATTAAAAACACATTTTGAATAAATGCAGTTACTGATATAACATAGGTAGTTTGTATTTATTCAATCGAAGGGGTAAAACAGGCAACATCAAGACCCACTTCGGGACACAATTATTTTGGAGTTTTTGAAATTCAATTTGTCAGTGTGCTACTAGGGGTGTAAAAGAGGAATCTTTTTGAAGCAATTGTTAAGTTTGAAGTAAAAATCGCCATTTTTCGCTGTTTACGCGGGTTTTCACTATATGGGTGAACTCAATTATGTAGTTAAATGACTGTTAAACAATCAACTTATTGTTGATTACAATTGAGTGAAGTTTGTATTAGATTGCTTGAAAATTGAGGGAGTTTTTAGTTTAAAATTTGTGTTGAAATCGATTTTTCGTTTTTCGCGGTTTTGCGCTAAACGCAGTGGCGTAGACATAAAAAATGAGGTATCGTTTAGTTCGTCATCCCGAGTTTTAACGAAATCGGAACAACAAAAAGTTGAATTTATCGATATTTGATCGGCTTAAACCGATTATTGATTTATTTTTTTTAAATTATCGATTTTTTACGCTAAGAACCTATCTCTTATATTGTACAATGTAAGTGCCAAGTTTGGTCACGTTGGATGGATCTCGAGTGAAAAGGCATCACACAGACAGACAGAGACATCCTCTTTTTTATATATAGATTACTGGCTATCCAAAAAAAAAAAAAAAGGAATAGAGACTGACTGCAACCGATACTTACTAAGTAAACAAACTCTCTAATATAATACGACCTCACATCAATATTTGGGTGAAGGGTTCAAATATGACATGCATACCCTGCATGATCCTTTTCTCGAATAAATAATTAGTAATACTTTTTACTATTTTCCCCTAAGTTTCACGTCACGTTGAAACAGCGGTTCCCGTACGAGCACCGAAGTTAAGCACCATTGAGTCTGGTCAGTACTTACACGGGTGACCGCTTGGGGATACCAGGTACTGTAAGCTAGGATGTACGGGTGGTGTAATCGATAATTCCTCGGAATTGTTAATCAGAGAGTCGATTCTAGATGAGTTCGTTGTATTCACTTAGGCACGAATACCCTTGGGAAAGGCATGAATTCACCTCTTTCCCCCCCAGCTACAGGTTAATTAGTTAGACTTGTATCACGAAACCATTATCATCTCAAAAAAAAAAAAAAAAGCTTACTATCTAAAAATATTTCCTATTTAAAAATAAGCCGTAGAAAATGAATTCGTCAATTAATATTCGCCTTTAAATAACCCACAAAGCGTTGATAAGCCGTAAAAATCAATCAGTCAATCAATAACAATAAAGACTTTCTATTAATCATCTAAGATACCTCATTCTGTCTTCCATCAGTATGGCTGATTCTAACCACCAGAAAAGTGACTTGTTGCGTCTTCTTCGGCTAACGTTTTGTGCTGAATTGATGTGAAAAGATTATATTGAATCATTTACTAGGTCTGTTGCTACGAAACTTGGTTCACTGTGATATACGAGACAATTTCTCTCTCCGGAATCTAACTTCCATATTTCTAAGTTTATCATTCGTTCATGCTTCGAATATTGCTGCCACATATGGTCTGGTACTCCTGCAATGTATTTCGAGATTCTTGATAAAATCCAAAGAAGAATCTACAATGTTATCGGCCCTGTCCTGGCATCTCTCACTTTCCTACCGCCGTAATGTAGCTTCCCTGTGCCTTTAACGGTAATTATTCTGATTAACGTTCCTTGTTGTTACATATGGGAACTAGTTAGGATTACTTAGAGACTTAGAGGTATTATGGTGACTGTAATAAGAATTGTAAGAATGTGTTGTTTTACTGTAAGGAATACTGTGGAATGTTTGGGTCAGTAATTGTCGTGAGCTAAGTTTAAGGTAAGGCAGACTGAAAACCAGCCTTACCCTATCCTCTCGTGGCCTTGTGCCACAATTCTGTATTTTCAAAATAAATATTACTTTCCTCGTTGGTACTTAGATTTATGAATTTAAGCGTACTACTAGACTGGCAACAAAGGCGCATTGTATGACCTTGATATTTTATGTAGCATCTCTAGAAATTTTTACATGATATTTGCATTTACTTCTGTAATCCCTGTTTTTTCTTTGTTTTTCTCGTGTGTACAAAGCTACGCAATTTCTCGTACAAGAACTAAATATAAACGATTTGAATAGTGACTGGAGGAGGGGCGATTGACACGTTCAGTAAATAATCGATTTTAAATTATAATTGGAATATAAAATTCAATTTAAAAATTGGGTTTGCAAACTACAGTAAAATTGTTTAAAAAACTCTTTTAATGATCACTAAAACGCTTAGATAGATAGATAGATAGATAGATAGATAGATAGATAGATAGATAGATAATCGTAAACTTTGGATTTAGTTCTAAAACAAGCAGGTACATATCATATGTATCTTTACCATATTCCTCCTCTCTTGCATCCTTACAATAATCTCATCCAGTAACCCTCTACCTTGAGTGGCTCTTGGGTATTGTATTGAGTGAACGATACTTTAAAAAAATAGATAGATAGATAGATAGATAGATAGATAGATAGATAGATAGATAGATAGATAGATAGAAACAGATTCATATGTAAACACGAGAAGAAGCAATACGTTTTCTGTTTGAAATATAGACATCCATCCATCCATCCATCTATCTATCTATCTATCTATCTAGATAGATAGATAGATAGATAGATAGATAGATAGATAGATAGATAGATAGATACGAACAGATCGACATGTAAACTTACGATTGATCTCCTGTTTGATATGTAGACATTAGCTGGATTTCGAGGCACCTCGGCGTGGTGTAATGGTTAGAATGCATGTCTTGCTAGATGACGACTGAGTATTGAGTTCTATCCTCACTTGGCGCCCCATACTTTCGGCCTTGTGCCATATCTAAGCCGGGCTTAGAAAATCACCATTAGGTGGATTTTGTACTATCAGCTACTTAGCTAGCTTTCTAGCTAGTTAGATCGATCGTAAAGCATCGATCCTGTATCTCAAAAGGTTCTTTTTTTAGTATGACCTTGTTGCAAAAGTGTGTCTTGCCCAACAAATATTTTGAGAGATTGAGCAGAAATAAACAAAAAAGAAAAAGAAAAAAAAGAAGAATCAAGTAGAAAAAAAAAAAAAGAAATGGTAAAAAAGCAAATCACTTCCCGGGCAACATTCCTGTTACACAGTTTTAAGTTTTGCGAGCGCCAGTCGCAACTGAGTACCTCAGTTAAAGAACAATGTAAATAAAATGGCGATGCGATAGCAACTTACACGAAATGTAACCAGGAAAACCCTGCACTGCTGACATCGGCGTTATAATACCAGCAAATTGATGTCAGTCGAATATAGCCAACATTTTAGGTTCTTTTTTACCCCCTTGGCTCGTTTCCCTAAGAGCGGATGAATACAAAATTTACTAAAGAATTTATCGAAAATAGTCCTATCCCTACTCAGGAAAACATAATAAAGGCTGGAATGTCGATGTTGTTATTTAGCGATTCCGATTCGTTTTCTACAAGGTTATTTTGTGTAACATAATCCCATTGAAGGAGACGTTCTCATCTGGTAGCCTATATTACTCCTGCAAGCAAAATACATATGATTTGTATTCGGTGTCATAAACAAAGGAATACAGACAGACAGAATCAGATTGATCTTTTACAGGTAACTTATTAAGATTATCTTAGTAGGGCACATGATCAGGCATAAATGAGGTATGAAAAGACTATGCTTATGTAAGTCTTCCATGCGGAAGGACCTGTCGACCTTCTAAATCAAAATTCGAATTCAGGGCTTGAACCCCGAATGTCACTATTTCACCTACAAAACACACTACACAGTTTAAAATCTAATATCTTAATCATCCCTACTACGGGAAAAATAGTAAGGTAGATTGACAATTCTACCCTTGGTTCATAAACTAATAGATCGAAAACTCTGAAGTAAAAAAAAAATGAAGAAAGCCATGAGAAACTATTCTACTGGATACCTAAAAACAAAACATAATTTACATATATTAAAGAGGAAGAAGCTGTGGAGATCCATGATTATTTACATTCTGAAAGGTTATAGTACTTAAAGATGGAAATCTTAAGCTTCTATCAATTTCTGATACGAAACATTGGCATTATTAATTTTTAACTAACGTTTTGTTTCATTTAATTTTACTGCACTTTATCACAATGAAAAAAATTCTTAAAAATACCTTTGCTTTACCTACAAAGTTTTTCAACTTATTTATTTTTGGACGTGTTAACTAAACTCTTTGAAATCAGAATAAAGCACAAACTAATTACTACTACAGTTACTACCAAGACTTCAAAAGTGACGTGCAATCTATTGAAACGGAAGGACTGAAAGCGCTCTACGAAATAATACTCTAATTGGCTTTCAATTTTTTTAATTACAAAAGTGTTATGGGCGTTATAATATTATTATTATTATTATTGTTTTTTTTTTATTTTACGATAATATATTGGGTCGACATATTCTACCGTGTGAGTAAACATCACGAAGTCAGTAGCTGTCTATATTTCTGACATAAGGTATTATGTACATTATTTACATTATTCGGACTATTGTCCTCATCATTGTCGCCATATTTATTACAACGTTTCGGCCGTTGTATGTCCCGGCCTTCTTCAGATGGTTGGAATGTCGAACTGAACCCATGACTTTCGCTCACTGTTCTCACTCTCCAAGTTCTCCACTGCCTTAACCGGGTATTGAACTCACACACTTTCGGTCCTGTCATTGGATCTAACTAACTCCTTTATTCACTGTGTCATGTGTTCTTGAGGAATTAACAGGAGATAACTAATAACTGACATCCATTAAACATGGCACGTGGAACTAGAATAGTCTACCCCAGTGAGCGAAGTAAAGAGTTCAGTTCGACATTTCAACCACCTGAAGAAGGCCGGAGCATACAGCGGCCGAAACGTTGTAATAAATATGGCGACAAAGATGAGGACAATAGTCCGAGTTATGTAAATAATGTATCACGAAATCAATATAAAAATATCGTTGGGCAAATACGAAGAACAAATCTCTCAAACGTAACACTATTTTTTATTCAACTCCGGACTGTCGATGAAGTGGATATGTGGTTTTGGGGCTTTCTCCCAACGTGGATTATTCATCTCACCAGGGCTTGAGCGACTCGCTTGTCTGTCTCAGTTGTGTGGGTGCGGAAGAAAGATATTAATCTACCTGTAGCACGGTTTCTCCCGCGCGCGCGGTTTCTAGGCGCAGTCAGTTCGACCACTTGTTCACATATCTGGGGCAGCCACTGAAATCGATTGAAGCGCGGATATGTACCTGGTGGCTCGGAGGGTACCTTTCAGGCCAACTAGTCTATGCAACTGGCTTCTCTTAAGCCCCGGTGTAACAATGAATGCAAAGAACATTTTGCAACTGGGGTGAATCACAGACAAGAATAAAAAAAAGGCTGTGACTTGAGTTTGGATTTCGCACATCAGAAGCTTGCATCTCTAGTAATTCCTCTTAAGTGTCATAACCCTTTTGGTCGATTATGACTCTCCATCGCTTCCTTTTTTAATATTCGTAAATTATGCGTTGATATAATTGTTATTGGGAAAGGCAGTAATGTGACGTTGCCTTCTCTAGTTTTTACTTTAGAGTCGTCATTCTCCCAAATTGGTTGCCAATAAAAGCAAGACCTGCGACTTTAATTATATTTTGTGAAGTATGGGAAGAAATTGATTCTTACCTTTCCCGAAGATATTAGTGCCGAGTGAACACAAACTGTCTCTTCTGAAATTTGAACACGTTCACTTGCACTTCATTTCTAGTCATGGCTCCCCACATTTTCCTTTTCTTTATTATCTGTGTGCTGCCATAATTTCTTGGGGAAGACAGTGGAGTATTTCCTTTTGCCTTCTCAACGATTTAGAATTTCTTCTCCTTGACTTGCTGACACCCAAAATTAGAGATCGCCGT